CGTGAGCCTGCGTCCCATCCTGCAACGCCTGTTCGTGCTGCTCGCACTAGTAGTCGTATTGCGTGTCCACGTCCTCCTGCGGTCCCTGGCACACACCAGATGGCGTTGCGTCCTTCCACTACTCCTCTGCGTGTCCCGTTGTCGTCTCCTCCAGAGTCCTCTCTTCCTACTCTTGCTGACCCGGAGTCAAACTCTCTTCGTGCTGCTAGTCCTTCAGTCACGCGCCTCCTTGCTACTGTTGTCACTGACCATTCCTTTGAGTCCACTGCTGCGTCTGCCTTAGTTGCTGAGCATGTTGACTTCGCTGCTCGCTGTCGTCTAGACTACGCTGCTAGTCTCGTTGCTGAGTCTGAGTCTGTCTGTCCTCTGTCCGTTGGGGGTGAGTGTGCTCTTAGCACGGACGTCCTTGAGGACAGGTAGGAGGAGTTCCAGTGCTTTGCTACTTCTTTGCCCCATCTCGTGTCCACGCTGATTTCCCCTGAGGGAGACCTGGATGCACCAGACATCCCGACTGCTCGATCGTACGCTGAGGCGATCGAGGGTCCCTACTCCTCTCTGTGGCAGTCGGCCATGGACGCAGAGATGGCTTCCTCGAAGTCCACAGGCACCTAAGTCGACGAGGTTCCCCCACCTGGGGCGAACATCGTTAGTGGCATGTGGATCTTCAGGGTGAAGCGGCCGCCTAGCTCTCCGCCTGTCTTCAAGGCGCGTTACGTGGCTCGAGGCTTGAGTCAGCGGCAGGGAGTTGACTACTTTCGGACCTTCTCTCCCACTCTGAAGATGACCACTCTTCGGGTGCTGCTGCACATAGCCGCTCAGCGCGACTACGAGCTTCACTCTCTTGACTTCAGCACGGCTTTCCTGAAGGGCAGCCTGCACGAGGAGATCTGGCTGTGCCGCCCACCTGGCTCCATAGGGTCGTTTCCCTCCTGGTACCCAGTGGAGCCTCCGGCGGCCAGTCTACGGTCTCCGCAAAGTGCCCCGTGAGTGGCACGACACACTGAGGACTACACTTGCGGCTCTTGGGTTTGCTCCTCCTAGAGCCTACCCGTCGCTATTTCTGCGCACCGACACCTCTTTGCCGCCGTTCTACATCCTCGTGTACGTCGATGACTTGGTCTTTGCCACTGCTGACACTGCTGGACTCGCCCACGTGAAGTCCAAGCTGCAGAAGAGACACACGTGCACAGACCTGGGTGAACTGCAGAGCTACCTTGGCTTGCAGATCACCCGGGACAGAGCACAGCGCACCATTACCCTGACTTAGTCACACATGGTGCAGCAGGTCCTTCACCGCTTCGGCTTCACGTACTCCTCGCCTCAGGCCACTCCTCTGTCTACTCGCCACTCGCTCTCAGCTCTGCCTTCGGATGAGTCCATAGAGCCGAGTGGCCCGTACCCAGAGCTTGTTGGCTACCTCATGTACCTGATGACCTGCACTCGACCTGACCTTGCATACCCTCTTAGCATCTTGGCACGCTATGTTGCTCCTGGGAGACACCGACCAGAGCACATGGCTGCAGCGAAGAGGGTGTTGCGCTACGTGTGCAGTACGTCGGGCATGGGGCTAGTGCTTGGAGGGCGACGTCGAGTGGTCCTCACAGGTCACGCAGACGCTTCTTGGGCTGACGACCAGGCTGTGCAGCGGTCGTCACAAGGTTACACCTTCAGCCTTGGCTCCGGCTCTGTTTCGTGGTGGTCTACCCGCTCGTCTTCTGTTCTCAGCTCCAGCTGTGAGGCTGAGATCTACGTCGGGGCCATGGCTGCACAAGAGCTACGCTGGCTCACCCACCTGCTGACTGACCTAGGATAGCCGCCTCGTTCTCCTCCAGTTCTCTACGTAGACAACAAGGCCATGCTGGCCTTGTGTCGGGAGCACAGACTGGAGCACCGAACGAAGCACATTGCTCTCCGCTACTTCCTGGCACGTGAGCTGCAGCAGCGTGGTCAGCTCCGCCTCACCTACGTGGCCTCTGAGGCCAACACTACTGATATCTTCACTAAGGCCCTTCCGCCTTGTGATCATCAGCGCTTCTGTACTATGCTAGGTCTTGTGCCTACCTGGCCTCACTTGCTCACTTCTTGACCTTGCTTGTACTGTCCTCTTTCTATACCTGCACTTGCTTGTTTAGCTTTATATATATGATCTTGCATGTGAACTGGCCTTGTGGCCTTGCTCTTGTGCTCGGACTGTGTGGTGACATTGTGATCCACCCTGAGCTTTTTTTGTTTTGCTTGATTGGTCTTGTGACCCCTTGTTCTCCCCCACTTTTCCTATGGGGGTGTGTCAGGCATATATGCTTTAGTCTGTGTAGGCTGTTGTGGGGGGAGTTCATATGGGGTACAACACTTAAGGGTTTCCTACTTGTACTCCTCATTCTGCTTAATGCATCCATTTTTGTTTCTCATTAGTAGGATGCCATCTCTGAGTCCATGGCAGCTCTCCACTGAGAGGCCTAAGGTTCTGACACTGCCTCAGTGTTAGTGCGAGAAGTATGTATGTTAATGGCGTCAAGGTGTCATCCTAGGGCGAGCAGCATGGCACAGAGATGAGGGGAAGCGGCTGCCAGGAACTCTAGCTCAAACTGCCTGTCCTCTAGGGCGTCACAGCCAAGGGCAGACTCACCCCTGACGGTTAGAGGACTGGTAGGAGCAGCAGCCACAAAACTAGTGGCGTAGTCAAGGAAGCGATTAGAGGCAAACTCAGTGACTGCGGCAGTAAGAGCGGAGACAGAGGACAGAGAAGCACGGGGGTAGGTAACAAGAGAGGCGAGAACACGATAGAGAACGGGACGGAACATGCGTTAGTAGTCAGTGACAGGTTTAGAGAGGGAAGCTGTGAGGGCTGACTCAGGGGGAGAAGGAAGCAGAGACGGCGACGAACAAGGCGGACTAGGACGGAACAGGACAGTACCAAGGTCAGTGAGAGGGACAAGGGACGAGGGACGAGCACAAGGAGAACGAGAAGTCCAAGCGTGAGAAAGAGGAAGGGAAAACAGAGGCTGAGAATGGGGGAAAACAGCTGGGGCGGAGTCAGGAGGAGGAAACGTGGGACCGTAGACAGGAGGAGAGGGGGAGGGGGGTGACCGAGGGTCCGAAGACTAGAGACAGGAGGCGGAGGTGGCGGCAGATGGTGCTGCTTCTCTGCTCCTGCGGCGGCGGCGGCCGCTGCGGCTTCTGCTTCTGCGGCTGCTGCTGCCCCTGCTGCGGCGGCTGCTGCTGCGGCTGCTATTGTAGCTGCTGCGCTTGCTGCTGCTACTGTCGCTGCCGAGTTCCCACGGATTTTGTCACGGGGTTCCCTTTGAGCCCCGGGGGTAACAATGCGGTTAAGGTCATTGTTGACAGACTGAAGAAAATGGCCCAATTCGCTGCGTGTAGGAAATCAATCTCGGCCGAAGAAACCGCTCGCATGTTCGTCGCAACCGTCGGTCAAGTGCATTGGATACCAGCCGCAATAATCAGCGACCGCGACACGAAGTTTATCAGCAACTTCTGGAAGAACCTTTGGAACAGTTCGAGACCAAGCTACTGGTCTTTTCTTCGTACCACTTCGAGACCGACGGCCAAATGGAGCGAACGAACCAGACTATGGAGCAGTTGATTCGTGCCACGTGTAAGGACCCAACAACATGAGAGCAGCAGCTGCCGCTGATCGAGATCGCGTACAACAATGTCACATCAGCGATGACGCAACAATCCCCGTTTTATCTAAACTACGGGCAAAATCCAACAGTGCCCATGACGCCGAGCCCGGACAACCCCATGCCACGTGCACAACAGTTCGCCGAGATTCCGGACACATGCAACATACACAATAAAAAAAACCAACATCATCGCAAAAACGGAACGCTGATCGTCACCGCTGCCCGGTAACGTACCAATCCGGGGATTACGTATTGCTCGAGACACAACACTTAAGACTATCAAAACTTCGACCGCACTACGGTGGACCGTTCCAAATCAGCCACATGATCACCCAAGCTACCACCCATCTACTGTTGCCGACAAACTGGTACATCAGCCCACTCCTACGTCAGCTTGCTTTGCCCGTATATCCCAACCACAAGTCAACTGCCACGACATCGCCCGCCGTCCATGACTCGACTTGCATCAGAGCAGTTTCTCGAGCCCAAAAAAAAAATCCGAGCCATCAAATTCGCCACCCCACAGGAATCAGGAGGATTGAGTTACTCGTTCACTGGAAGGACCACACCGCAACCGAGGACAGTTGGGTGCCCCAGGCCAACATTGAAAACCACCCTGCCCTACAAGTGTACCTGAGGAGCCAGGGTTTTTTCGACATTTCTCACCACGTGCTTCAACATCGTGTACAGCAGCATCCGTTGTTCGCCTGTTACTGCTAACGGGGCTTCGCCAACATTCTCCCGCACTTTTCACCAAACCATGCACTACTGCTAGCCTAGCTGTGTCGGCCTACGCTACGGAACTAGCTCGAGCCTCAATGCCAGCATTGCACCAGCTAGCTCACGCGCACCGCATTACCGTTTTCATGTTTCGCGTATAAGTATTCGCTCATGCCTTCGCTCATTTTGTCCTCATTTGACACCCTAGCCCAATTCTCGCTACTTAGATTCATTGCACCCGTAACGATTGGGCAAAAGTAACGCCTGAGTGTTGTATGCAATAGGCAGGCGCTCAGTGAGGGAGATATTTCCACTCCCTCAAATCCAATTGCATACTCAGGAGGCGTCGTCACTCCACACAGCCCTCCGATCAAAGCGTTTTTGTTTCGTAACATGTATGCTGCCATCATGGAATGACCGTTAGGGATGATCGCTAGGGGTTCCGCAATTAGGGATGACCGTTATTCCAACCAGGAAAGCACAAATCTCCGGCTTGTGATGTTTTTTTCTCTTCTCGGTTGCTGCATGTGGGGCTTTTGAAGGAGTAATCGCTTTCTCTAATTACCGAAATATCCAAGTTAGTGCTCGCTGAGCGTACTCTTTCCCGCCTAGGCCTCGTGTTTCCTCTTCTGTGACATGGAATTCTTGCTTCGATTTCGAGTTCCCTCTGTTCTGCTCAAAGTGAGCCATAGTGATGCAAATATTGGCACCAGCATAGACACTAGTAGCAGCGCTGCCACTAGCCTTGCCGCTGAACGCGGCGAAGGAGGAAGCGCGGCCACGATCCAACAGCCAGCCGCTTCCCACGTGGACTATCCGATCACCGTTGATCCGCACGAGCCGCTCCAATCAGCGTTTGACAAGCTCTTGCTGTCCCACCTGCCGCACTGCTGTCTACCAGGTCAGCAGACACGTCAGCAACATGATGACGCAGAGAGCGGTGAAATTCAAGAGGGGGGGAAGGGGAGCAGCAGTGATGGCGAAGAGAAGCAAGCGGTTCGGTTCATGGCTATCGAACAAGTGGTGTACTTAACACCTACCTTATCCGCTGTCAAGGCCAGACTTAAATCGGGTACAGTGATCAAAGTGCTGGCAGTGAAATCGAAAGCGGCGAAGGGAGGGAACGACGGCATAAACGGTGCACTGGTCTCTGCTAGTGCGTGTGCCCACCTCGCAGATTCGAAGCTCTGTCGCTCACCCCTGCTATAAACCCCCCATTCGAGATCTCACCTTCGCCTGTTCCAGCAACTGCCCCTCCCTCTGCGCCTGCAACTGCTGCCGCACTTTCCGCTCTCCCCATGCCTGCAGAGAACAGCACAAACGTGGCGAACAACAGTTCCACCGCCGGCAGCGGCACCAGCAGCAGCTATAAACCCAGAAGCACCACAGGTGGCAGCCACAAGGCTGGCAGCAACAAGGCTGGCAGCAGCAAGGCTGGCAACAGCAAGGCTGGCAGCAGCAGAAGCTCTAGCAACCCTTTCCACACGGAGCACGCGCTGCTAACGCGGGCGCACATGGTGCACTACGTGGACGTGCACCTGCCGTGGTCGCACTCCCTCTGCGCCTGCTGCCTCCCGCGCATGCTCTGCCCCGCCCCGCCCATCGCCTTCCAGATCTCCTCACTCACCTCCCTGCGCAAGCACCTGCAACAGCCTTACGTGCCCACCATGCCACCCTACCGCTTCGGAAATAAGCCCCCGCGCTTCATCACTGCATATCCCGCCACCATCCCACTCTCGGCTCCTCCGCTCAGCCCTCCAGGTAGTGTTACTGGTGCGAGTGCTGCTGCAGAAGAGAGTGCAGCAGCGCCGTCGGTGGCGCAGCAGTATCGGTGGAAGGTGGACTCAGCACCAGTGGTTGCAGCTGAGGGGATGATGCTCGAATGGCTGGCAGAGCCACGTGTCGGCCTGCTACTGGACCTCCAGAATCTCAGGCGCCAGCTGGCAGCTCTTCTTCACATGCATGAAATAGCTGATACACGTGTGGCCACTGAGGCTAGAGGCACCGCCACGGCTAAAGGCAACAGCACGGCAGCTAGCACTCGCCTGTGGTGGTGCTGCTGGCAGTGCAGCCGCTGCTGGACGAGCTACCGCCATGCCGTGTCCATCGCTGCTTTCACCGTGCTTGTCGCCAAGTTCCCCCACTTTGTCACTCTCTAGAGGTCGCACATCTGATCTGATTCTGTGATCTTTCCCAAGCTGGTCTTTCAGTTCGGTGCGGAGCGGAAGGCTGGGACCGACTGCTTGGCGTCGCTGCTGCTGCAGGTGCTGGGAGTGAAGGGGAAGCAGCAGCTGGAGACCGGCTTTGCTGCCCACCTGCTGTCGCTGCTGCCGGGGGGGAGGCACGCGCATGGGCAGGCGGGAGGGGCAGGGGAGAGTCGAGGGACGGAGGTGGGAGAGGTGAAGGAGTGGAGGGAGGGGTTGAAGGATGTGGAGTGGGAGGAGTATGTGGAACGCGTGGGGGAGATTGCCGCCCAGGGAGGGCTGGCAGGCGAGCAGTACTGCTGATACTGCTCGCAGTGCTGAGGGCGAGGTTGCTGAGGGAGGAGCGACTGGGACTGTGGGAGACCCACCAGGCAGTAGCGGCATTGTGGCATCTGGTGTGGACCCCACGGAGTTTGCTTTCTTGAGCTCTACTCTCTTCTGGCAGCCGCTGTTCGCCAGGAGTGTTTCTCTGATCTTTTCCGACTGTGCTGGCAGCCGCCACAAGGAGAGGGTGGAGGACGCTGCCGTGGAGGAGGCAAAGAACCGGCTGGCAGCGGGGGAGAAAGGCACAGCGGCTCCTGCTGCTACTGCTGCTGGGTCTACAGGTGCAACCAAGGGATCCGGCACTGCAAGCGGCGCCAGGCTGGTGCCCGTGAACAATAACGCAGTGGTTGGGCTGTTCACATACCGAGTCACCTGCCTGCTGCGATGGGTGTGACTCTACGGCTTCAGGGTCAACCCCATTGAGCACCGTGCATGCTCCGACCAGAAAAAGCCAGGCATCGCCCTCCCGCATCCACTTCACGACCTTCCGAACCTGTTGCAGAGGCTCGGCGCTGCACTCGAGCTTCCGGTCACCACTGGTAAGGAAAGTCAGACAAGGACGGGCTGGAAGGAGTTCCCGGAGGGGGCCAAGGCGGCAGTGGCGGCGCGTGAGAAGGACCCCGGGGAGTTCATGGGCATCAAGTCTTTCCAGGTGGGGGCGTTTCGTGGCGGTAAGTTGGACAGGGAGGAGATTAAGGAGTATAATCTGAGGGAGCTAAACCCGTCCCACCTGGCCTGCACATCCGCCTCTCATCCCAACCCTGGTGTCTGGAGCACTGTACAGGACAACACCAGCGGTCCCTTCTTCCCCACGCTGGGACACTGCGTGGAGGAGTTTTTGAGAAGGTTCGCTCCCAAGAAGCTGGCAAAGGAGGGCAGGAACGGCCCTCTGGCCCGCGCTATCACCTTCTGGGCTGCCTGTTCAGGCATGGAGGAGCAAAGCTGGGCGACTCTGGCTCTGGGGCCGAATCCAGAGGGCAAGATAAAGCCGATCGTACGGTCCAGAACCGAGGTGGATGCGTTGATGGCGGATACCAATGCACCCATGCTTGAGTGCATCTGCTGCCGCCTCTGCATCGGCAAATACTACCTGGCTGTGAAGCATACCTCACTCGTGGCGACCTTCGCCTACCGCCCCTCGTCCGCGCTGCTGCGCTGCCTCCTCTCGCTCTTCCCGCCGCGCTCGGCGACCTTCAAATTTATCCTGGAGAGTTTGCGCGTGGCGCCTGTCCCTGCGGTGGTCCCGGACTCGCTAGTGGCGCCGCTGCTGGAAGGCGTGATGGAGGAGAGGCGTCTAGGGCTGATCTACATGGGCATACTCCACATCAGTAAGGCCAATTCTTTTCCGTCCATTCTGGAACCCGTCAGCAGCGACGCAAGCGGACAGGTGGAGGGGGACAAGCAGCAGCAGCCGCAGGAGGGGGATGAGGAGTGGAGGATGTGGGAGGAGGTGGATAGCTGGCGCATGGCGGCTGAGAACACGTGGCCTGCTGTGGAGGCGCACGATGCACCGCTGCAGATGGGAGCAGGGAAAGGAACAGGGCGTGTGCCAGGGGAGGTGTCGGAGGAGTGCTGTGAGGGCATGAGGCATGCAATGGTGGAGGAAGAGGAGGCCCTTGCTGCTGCCAGGAAGAATCCTGGGAAGGGGCGGAAGGGGAGGGCAGGGGCGTGGTACCTGGAGCCGCGGCCGGGGGGGGGGAATCCTCTGGCGTGTTTGAGGAAGATGCTGCTGGGGGAGACCAGCTACTGCTCCCAGGCCAAGCTGGACGCTCTTGCTGCAGCGGAGGGGCACAGTGGCAAGCCAGGGCCGCGTGGCTGTGCCTCCCCGCGGTGTGGCAAGGAGGAAGGGGCGGGGGTGCAGCTGAAGCTATGCTCGCGGTGTGGCAAGGTTGCCTACTACAGCAAGGAGTGTCAGAAGGCTCACTGGCCCTTGCACAAGCTCAAGGTTAGGGAGGGAGGCGAGTCGTCCTAGGTGGGATAGCGTGAAGGGCTTAAGTCCAGGCTGTGGACGTACGTGGGATGGTTGAGGAAGACTATGGTCGATATACTATAGTTTGCCTGCTATCAAGGTGCTGCTTGACTCATGCCTTATCAAGCTACCGTACAAGGGTAGTGTCACAGTTCCTGTGTCCAAAAAGCACATGTGGCAGGGCTAATTTTTGGTTTTGGACAACCCTGTCAGAGGTCCACTTGTGATCCCCGATTGATCCTAGGAAAGGGTTACAGGCACGTTGGCCTGGGGGGTTATGGGCGCTCTCACCCGCTACACAAACAAGCCCTTTTATCCCAGTGGTTAGTGGCTGGGATTCTGACATGGTACCAGAGCGAAGGTCTCGGATTCGAATCCCGGTGTGTGCCCAAGGGCATCCCAGTGCGGGGGGGTGTCAAAGTCAACTGGTGATCCCCGATTGATCCTATGGAAGGGTTACAGGCACGTTGGCCTGGGGGGTTATGGGTGCTCTCACCCGCTACACAAACAAGCCCTTTTATCCCAATGGTTACTGGCTGGAATTCTGACAAACCCTTACGATCAGTGTTGCTCATAATAAAAAACCTGATTATCACAGTATCCTTCTCTGAAAATTATGATATGTCAAGGTTTTTGCAGATCTAAATTTTTTTACCCAAGGTCATCAGTGTAACAAACTTTCATGCCCATTTTTAGTTAGTTTTAACACTTCATAGAATAACCATCTCAATCATCATCATCAGACATGCCAATGGTGCCCCACTTCGTGCCAGCACAAGTAATGTCGTGTCGAATTGTATAGTTACGGCAGTTGGCAAAGGGGATTCCCAAGTTACAGGGAAAGGAATGTGATAATTAGAACGAGAATGATTTAACTATAAAACAGTTGGGTACAAGTACTAACCCTAATTGGGTTTTACCCCTTATGGGCTACCCCACTACAGCCTACACAGATGTATAAGCTATAATGTTCTGACACACCCCCATAGGCAAAGTGGGGGAGAACAAGGGGTGACAAGACCAGTCAAGCAAAGCAAAGCAAGCTTAGGGTGGATCACAAAGTCACCACACAGTCCGAGCATAAGAGCAAGGCCACAACGCCAGTTCACATGCAAGATCATATATATAAAGGTAAACAAGCAAGTGCAGGTATAGAAAGAGTGCCGTACAAACAAGATCAAGAAGTGAGCAAGTGAGGCCAGGTAGGCACAAGACCTAGCAAAGTACAGAAGCGCTGATGATCACAAGGCGGAAGGGCCTTGGTGAAGATATCAGCAGTGTTGGCCTCAGAGGCCACATAGGTGAGGCGGAGATGACCACGCTGCTGCAGCTCACAAGCCAGGAAGAAGCGGAGAGCAGTGTGCTTCGTTCTGTGCTCCAGTCTGTGCTCCCGACACAAGGCCAGCATGGCCTTGTTGTCTACGTAGAGAACTGGAGGAGAACGAGGCAGCTCTCCTAGGTCAGTCAGCAGGTAGGTGAGCCACTGTAGCTCCTGTGCAGCCATGGCCCCTGCGTAGATCTCAGCCTCACAACTGGAACTGAGAACAGAAGACGAGTGGGTAGACCGCCACGAAACAGAGCCGAAGCCAAGGCTGAAGGTGTAACCCTATGACGACCGCTGCAGAGCCTGGTCGTCAGCCCAAGAAGCGTCTGCGTGACCTGTGAGGACCACTCGACGTCGCCCTCCAAGCACTAGCCCCATGCCCGACGTACTGCACACGTAGCGCAACACCCTCTTCGCTGCAGCCATGTGCTCTGGTCTGTGTCTCCCAGGAGCAACATAGCGTGCTAAGATGCTAAGAGGGTATGCAAGGTCAGGTCGTGTGCAGGTCATCAGGTACATGAGGCAGCCAACAAGCTCTGGATACGGGCCACTCGGCTCTACGGACTCATCCGAAGGCAGAGCTGAGAGCGAGTGACGAGTAGACAAAGAAGTGGCCTGAGGGGAGGAGTACGTGAAGCCGAAGCGGTGAAGGACTTGCTGCACCATGTGTGACTGAGTCAGGGTAATGGTGCGCTGTGGTGTGTCCTGATTGATCTGCAAGCCAAGATAGCTGCGCAGTTCACCCAAGTCTGTGCATGTGTGTGTCCTCTGCAGCTCAGACTTCACGTGGGCGAGTCCAGCAGTGTCAGCAGTGGCAAAGACCAAGTCGTCGACGTACACGAGGATGTAGAACGGCGGCAAAGAGGTGTCGGTGCGCAGAAACAACGACGGGTCGGCTGTAGAAGGAGCAAACCCAAGAGGCGCAAGTGTAGTCCTCAGTGTGTCATGCCACTCACGGGGTGCCTGGCGAAGACCGTAGACTGGCCGCCGGAGGCTCCACTGGGTACCAGGGGGAAACGACCCAGTGAAGCCAGGTGGGCGGCGCAACCAGATCTCCTCGTGCAGGCTGCCCTTCAGGAAAGCTGTGCTGAAGTGAAGAGAGTGAAGCTCGTAGTCGCGCTGAGAGGCTATGTGCAGCAGCACCCGAAGAGTGGTCATCTTCGGGGTGGGAGAGAAGGTCTAGAAGGAGTCAACTCCCTGCCGCTGACTGAAGCCTCGAGCCACGTAACGCGCCTTGAAGATAGGCGGAGAACCCGGTGGCCGCTTCACCCTGAAAATCGACATGCCAATGACGATGTTCGCCCCAGGTGGGGGAACCACGTCAACGTAGGTGCCTGTGGACTTCCAGGAAGCCATCTGTGCGTCCATGGCTGACTTCCACTGAGAGGAGTAGGGACCCTCGATCGCCTCAGCGTACGATCGAGAAGTCGGGATGTCTGGTGCATCCGGGTCTCCCTCAAGGGCAATCAGCGTGGACATGAGATGGGGCAAAGAAGTAGCAAAGCACTTGAACTCCTCCTGCCTGTCCTCAAGGATGTCCGTGCTAAGAGCACACTCACCCCCGACGGACAGAGGACAGACAGACTCAGACTCAGCAACGAGACTGGCAGCATAGTCTAGACGACAGCGAGCAGCGAAGTCGACAAGCTCAGCAACTAGGGCAGACGCAGCAGCAGACTCAAAGGAAGGGTCACTGACAACAGTAGCAAGGAGATGCGTGACCGAAGGACTAGGAGCACGAAGGGAGTCAGACTCCGGGTCAGCAAGAGCAGAAAGAGAGGACTGTGGAGGAGACGGCAACGGGACACGCACAGGAGCAGTGGAAGGACACAGCGCCATCTGGTGTGTGCAAGGGACCGTAGGAGGACGTGGACGCGCAGTACGACCACTAGTGCGAGCAGCACGAAGAGGCGACACAGGACGAGACGCAAGCACACGACGCTCAGCAAGACCTCCGGTAGGACCAGTGTACGGAGAAGGAGCAGGTAGAGGGGAGGCGGGCTGTAACTGTGACTGCGACTGGACAGGCTGTGGACACTCTACGGAAGGAGCAGGACCAGGAGAGGGCGGGAGACCAAGAACCTGCTCGAGGAGCGGAACGAAGTACGGCCTCGGCCACTCAGCGCCTCCAAAACCAGCAAGGACGGCACCAGTACCCCTAGCGGCAGCACCAGTGCCAATAGCACCTCCAACTCCGACAGCGCCAACTCCAGCACCCTCAAAAGCACCAGCGCCAGCAGCAACGCCAGCGTCAACACCCCCAGCAGCTCCAGCTCCAACAGCACCAACTCCAGTAGGATCATCAGCTCCAGCAGCCTCAGCAGCACCCCCAGATGCACCAGCGTTAGTAGAAACATTAGTGCCAACACCCCCAGCAGCTCCACCTCCAGCAGCACTAGTACCGCCAGCAGCTCGAGCAGGACCAACTCCAGTAGCCCCAGCACCACCCCCAGCCTCAGTAGCACGTCTCCAGCGGCGGGCAAACCACTCGCGCAGCTCCTGTGGAGAGAGTGGCTCCCGCCTCGATGAAGCAACGCCGGCGGCCACACGAGCAGACCCAACGCCCCAAGGCTCGGCACCCCCTGGCTCCGCACCTCCACGCTCCGCACCCCCAGGCTCCGCACCCCCAGACCCAGCACCCCCAGGCTCAGCACCCCCAGTCTCACCACCCCCAGACTCCGCACCATCAGACTTAGCACCCCCAGTGTGAGGATCTGGGATCGAGCTCAGAAAAGATGATTCAAATTGAATTGAATGTCCACCTGGGTACAACACGAGGCTATATATAGGCTCGACACAAGGCCCCGTAACCAGGTGTTACGCGAAGGTTCCGCGGGTCGCGAAGCGTCCTGAACAGATCCTTACCAAATTCGGTAGAAGGCAATTCGGTGGCAACCGAAATGCCAGAATTCGGTGCACGCAACCTAGCTCGGTGCTAAAACTATAATAAAATATAGGAAAGCACCTAGCCTAGGAAACCAAGCAATTCATGCATGCATATAATTATCCTATGCTAGAAATAGCATGATAAAGTAAAGGCAAGCAAGCATAGCTGGCATAAGCCGTCGTACTCTCACACGTCCCCCCCTCAAAGTTGGGTGGCGTGAGATACACCCTGCTTGACAAGATAGTCCTTGAGAGCACGGCGTGCGTTGCCCATATCAGCTCCTGCAACCCAACTGTCCTCAGTGGGGTCGTATCCCTTCCAGCGTATCAGGAACTCAAGAGTCTTGCCACCGCGGCGCCGATGAGAGAGAACGCGCTCGATCTCGTACTCGGGTTCATCCTGTATGAGAACAGGTGGTGGTGGCGGTAGTTGTCGTCCCTGGAACTGTTGGTTGGGGTCCTTGTAGGGTTTCAGTAGCTGGACATGGAAAGCGTTGTGAAGCTTCCATGTATCTGGTAAGCACAAGCGGAATGTAACTGGTGTCACCTGTGCCTCAACGAGAAAAGGACCACAGAAGCGAGGCCGGAGTTTGGATGGGAGGTGAGACAGGTTCAAGTTGTGCGTGTCAAGAAGCACCTGATCTCCGACTGCTACTGAGTGATCACGTCGCTGACGATCGGCATACTGCTTATGGGAGTTTTGCATCGTTGTGAGACGTCGCTGAGTCTTCTCCCATAGCTGCTGCATGGTGGTGACGAAGTCATGTGCGGCTTGGACGTATGCCGGTGTGGT